CAAAAGTACCATTAATTTTATGAAAATAAATTGTTTATTTTTGAAAATATGTTATTTTAATTTTAATATTTAAAGAGTCAAAATTATTGAAAAGAGATAAGTGTAAATTATTGACAAAAGATGAGTGAGTATGAGTATAAGAGACGTATAACCAGCCCCATTTCCTCTTGACTCTCGAACCCCGTACAGGCCTATGTTTACTTACGCCGATTCTTCCCCAGCAACTGCACGGCTTCACCCGTGTTTGCTGGGTGCGAATGTCCATTGCGTTCCGTACTGTCCCCTATTTGGGGCTCGAGAGCGAGAGGCGAATAGTTTTAATAGCCATTCTCGGGTTCGCCGAGTCTATGCTATACGCTCAGTGGGGTATAGGAGGAGGGACGGGAGGGTGTTGGTTTTTGGGGGACAATTACGCCGACTTAAAACTAAGTACGACGCGGAATCCCCCTAGACCAGACGATTAGTATTACTCCAAACATTTGGGATTACTATTTGGAGTTGGGGAGTTGTTATTTCGCTGCAGGGGTGTAGTTTCCTAGTCGAGGTCTTTGTCTTGTTCGTTATTGTCATTGTCCGTGTCCTGGTCAGATAATTCCTGCACTTGGTAAAGTGTGTCAGTTGTTTTTAATAAATTTTGTCCCAAGCACGTTTTGTGGTAGAGTTTTGTCTTTTTTTCTTAAATTCCAAAATTAAGTATTGCATTTATTTATTAGTTAAACAATTGACAAGCGCAAATATTCTGTTATCTAATGATTACAAATCTAGTAGAATTTGATTATTAGGTTTTTTTTGTTTACGTTAACAATTGTTAGGGTTAGATATTATGATTAATGTGTTAGTTTATTCTGTGAGTCTAGTGTTTATTTTCGGTTTCGTTTGGGATTGCATTACGCACTTGTTGTTGATAGATTTATTGCCTTACTCCGTGTGCCTTTCATATGTTTTAAAGATATCTGTCGTATTTAAATTGCAGATTTTGTATTAGGTCATGCATATTCTTAAGGTAACTTATCATTTTTTTTTTTTGCGGATGGCCACCTCCCCTTTTGTTTGACCTCCTTTGTCTGTCCCGTGAAAGCGTCCAATGACAGGTGGCACTTAACTCATTCATATCACTTAACACTTCACTCCTCAATGACCGCTACACCACTCTAGCTTGCACTCTAGGAAAATTGTTTGTTTCACTTTATTAGTTTGCACTTTTTAAAAATTATTTTTGGTTTCAATCTTTAAACTTTTACGTTTTAAGAGCCTTCCCACACGCGTCGCGCGTTCTCAAGCGCTGGAACCGAACTGTAAATTATTGACAAAAGATTCCGGTAAATTAATTTTTTTTATTGCAACTCTGGTACTAGTTTTACTCAATTTTAGTACGATTACTTTTTTATAAAATCTTTTTATTTCTGTGAAATTCTACAAAATTTTATACGAGTTTATAAAACGAGTTGCATACTAAACTTTATCTACGGCGAACTCAAATAAGAATTTAAAGCCAATTTTATTAGTTAAGCATTTGACATATGTCAAATGTCAACGGAATTAACCTCACTTTTCTCTGATGTATAATAAAGCTAACTTCAGCCCGTGACTAAAATGCCCAAAAGCCACTATTGCTAACTTCAGCCCGTGACTAAAACGCCATACAGTCACAGCTCGTCAATATAGGAGTGGATAAATACAGTTAACTTATTTAAAAAGGATAATTGGTGTAGCGGAAATGTCTGCATCTCATACTCATGACAACGTATGCGTAACTACGAATTTTATTTCTTCGTTAAAATAATTGCTAAAAGAATTTCTACGTCATTAGCTGTACTGAAGGAAAATTTTTCATTTTCATTCACAGAAATAAAAAGATTATGTAAAAAAAAGTAATAAAATTGAGTAAAACTAGTATCAGATTCGTTTAATGTAATAAAAAAATTTAACTTATCGGAATCTCTTGTCAATAATTTTCACTTATCTCTCTTCAATAATTTTTACTTTTTCAATAGTACAATACAAATGACATATTTTCAAAAATAAACAATTTATTTTTACTGTCAAAGTAAAAAAATCTAAAAAGTTTAACTTTAAATAACTTTTAAACCAGTGAATTTATCGAAAAATCATAAGGGAGCTTTTTGTACTGCGTTACATTTCCTATAAAAATGTGTATCTCTTATTGCAATATATTAACTTGCTCAGGAGGAAAAAAATTAAATGTAAAACGTGTAAATGTTATGTTATAGGAAATGTATCGTCTTTGTGGCAGGGTTTAATATGAATATTAAGGGCTTATGAGTCTAATAATTTTTTTTGGGTCATACACTAAATATTTAGGGGCGCTGCTAAACGAAAAAACAAGTTGGTAAATAACGGACACCCTAGTGGACAGTGGCTTTTTCTTGCATGCACAAAGTCTGGCCTATATTTGACCCCACCCGATGTGGAAGAGAAGGTACCAGAAAATTGTTCATCGTTTGCTGGCAGCGTTCTGTATTTAGGGTTACCGCAAGTTTTATATATATTTTTTTAAAATGTGTGATTATGGACATTATTAAATTAATATAAATTTAAAAAGGTAAACTTGACTGTACGAAATGATACTGATTTTGAAAAAAAAAATAATACACCATCCATGTACAACTATAGTTGTAACGACAAACCAACAGTAGAAATAATGTATGGGGTTCATTTTACTAGTTTCATTTAAAAATATATGCGGAAATCTAAATTAAAAAAGTAGTTTCAGTTAATTGGTACGCGAACATATTTCAAAGATAATTTTTTCGAAACCAAAGTTGCTATAAAAACACCCGGAAATCTAAATTAAAAAAGTAGTTTCAGTTAATTGGTACGCGAACATATTTCAAAGATAATTTTTTCGAAACCAAATTTGCTATAAAAAACCCTTATGGATACGTGCATAGTAAGTATAGGAGAAACTTAGGATAAATAAGCACATTAAACTAAAAATGTTATTAAAGAGAAGCAACTAAGAAGGAAAACGGGATAGGAAGCCTAAACTTATGATAAATTACGTATCCGTCTTAGTATTTAATCCTGTTGCCAGTAAGTAGCAAGGGTTTGGCCTTGAGGGTGAATGTAAAGGCGGCCTGCGCCCCCGCGGAGGAACTCCCCAGTCCCCTAAAGCAGTTTCTTGGTGGACCTACTTTAATTACTTTATATATCATAACTCTTTGTTAGCGCCAATTATTCTGTGCACCGATCAATATTTCTACAACATTTTTCTTAACAAGTTTGTTCGCTTCTTCGGGTCGGTTTAAACGAAGTCATTGCTCTTTAAATGTGAAAACTTATTTAATAATTAACAATTAGTTCCGAATTTGATGGATTTTTTGCAAATATTATATGTAGGTACAATATTACAATCTTGGCCAAGACTTTGCAATTTAATCTAAATAAAATTAATTATAATAATACCATAATATGGTATTTTATATTATATTATAATATTAAAAAAAACGCTATCGACCGTGGTCTTTCTGCCCAATTGATATAATTTTAGTTTATAACTCATATTTTAATAGTTAATTGTTATTGTTACAAATTTTATAATTTTTACAAAAAAAATAAATTCTGTAGTTATTATACTATGATATATTATATTATGTTATGTTTTGTTGTGTTGTGTTCGTCTCTTTCCGGCCCCGCAAGTGACCCCCTCCTTTCGATTTTCTTCCGCACCTTTACATATGTTTGCTGAATTTCCACCACAGTTTGGTACCATTTTTGCGGTTCGTAAGCGACATGCCGATGGTTTTAGTGAACCTTCCTGGAATTGCGCCGGGCTGGGCTATACGCCCAGAGGGCTTAGTAGAGCTGGGAACTGGGAGGGTAGACCTTTTGGTTTTCAGAGGATAATAACGCCGACACAAACCTAGGTACGACGCGGAATCCCGGGGCGTTTATTAAACCCACAATCATTTGGAGGATTTTGCGGCTGGTTGTTATTTTTTCGCTGTTGGGGCCTAACGTTTATTTGCAGTGTACTGCTTTTTTTTCTTCTGTGTCCGTCTCCCCTTCGCTTTCCCGTCGGGTATTTGGTAGCTGGCTTTAAAAAAGGTTCGACTGCTCATTCCAAGTACTGACTTCAAAGAAGATTCAGCTCGTCATTGTTTAAGTAAAGAAGTTAGTAAGCAGATATACCAAAGTACTGCTGTCTATGTCGGGTTGTTCAAAATAAGCAGCTGACTTTAAGCTGCTCCTTCCAAGTACTGACTTCAAAGAAGAATCGGCCGTATTCAGCGGCTGAATTTCAGCCAGTCGTTGTTTTTCAAGCTAAGAATTTTGTGAGTAGATATGCATATGCGTATATAGTCGTCGCGGCGAATGTTTAAATTTTTCCTGCATGAAGTAGTTACCATTAACAAAAATTTTTTTTTCTGTTCTACCCATTAGCCTAGCGTGTTGTGAAGTTAGAGCGCCATTTTGAATGAAAATGTTTTTTACTTCGTGTATACATATATACCTATACATATAAAATAACGAATAAGTGTAAATATCGCATATTTTTAGTGGTTAACCTTTGAGGCATTAAGAATAATGTATAGGTGTGAGAGGAATTTTCACCTTGATTTCCATTAGATTGAGTTGAGTAGCAGATCAAGTAGGGAGTGAAAACACGGATAGGTCGCGGCGAAAACCGCGCGTCTTGCCGCCCCCAAATGTTTACAGTTAATGCGTTAAGGAAATGGGAGTTGAAAATTTAATTTCGTTATCCCGTCGCGGCGAAGCCGTCGATCGTCGATTTTGTTTGTTTTGCCATGGCGGGCAAACTTTAAAAAATAAAGGTAAAATGAACAGAAGAAAAAAAAACAGAAAAAAACAACACAAACTCCCAACAGCTCCCGACAACTCATCAAGGCAATTAGTCGCCTTAATAAAAATTTCAAAAGTCCGCTAATTCGATAATTGCTGCAGTAAATCACGTAAAAAGTGGAAAATTCATTATCATAACATTTCAATAAAAAATCCGCGTTCACAAATCAAGTTACCTTACCCGAGGCTTTCGGGTATCCTGTGCAATCGACTACGGCCTTTTCTAATTTACCTAATTTCGTTGACATTTTATGTTTTCAATCTTTACAACAGACTTATTTAATGCAATTATTGTTAAAAAAGGGATAAAATATGTACGAACCTAATAAGTAGAATAATTAATAATCACTTACCTTAATAATGAAGTTTGCAGTACCCTAAAAATAACAAAATATTGTTAATGAATTGAAAAGATAATAAAACATTACTTTAAAAGAACTGTACATATGGACAACTATACAAAACATATTTTGTGTAAATTATTATACCTTAAATTTTAGCAATTAAAACAATTTGGGGTATACCGTTCGAAGCAACTGTTTCCCAAATTTGTTCGAAAATCTCCATTCGTTCGAAAAGTAAGCGATTTCCGGTAAATGGCAGTAATTGGAAAAAAAATCAAAAAATGGACTTGGCACCCATACAATGTTAATAGGTCTAGTTTGCCCAAAAAAAGATAATTATTTTGAGTTTTCACCGTTATCCGTTTTGAGCTACGGAGATTCAAACAAAGCGAAGAACAGACTGACACTCACAGACTAACAAAGTTACGTTTTGATTTTTTTTACGAGGGCGCAAATCGCCGCCACCGCGTAGACATTGAGTAAAAGTAATGAATCCAAAATATTAAGGATAAGTATAAACACATGTTTTTATACTCTGTTAAAACTGTTCTCAATATATTAATAAATATGTGATATTTAATACTAAGAGTTTGGGAATGATTATAATCATTTTGGTATACCAAACACTATAGGAATCAACCAATATTATTTTTTATGTAGGTGGCTATGTAGGTGGCTATGCATTTATGCTATATGACATTTTTTGTTATTCGCGCGTTTTATTCTATCTCATCTTGTGCATTTTGTTGGTTATCGTTTAATCCTGTTAAATTAATTAATTATTTAATTTTCTAAGTTTATTGGTAAACTTAAAATGGTTATTAATTTTTTCTAATAAACTCTAATTAGGCTATTATGAAAGCCTAATCTCAAGTCCACTCTACAAACAGTGTGAAAACAGTAATCCTCATAAAAGCAATAGTGATGTGCCATCCTAACCTGGCTAGCCAGCTCACCTGAACAGATAGAACTATTGGAATCGACTCCAGAACGAGATAAAACACGAGCGAGATAATAGGGTGTACGTAGGATCGGATAAGTATCTTAATAAATATACGCACACTAAAATGGCCGTCTGCCACTTGACATCCCAAGTAACAAACAAGTAATAAAACTAGCGACGGAAACGTAAACACATCAAAAACACAGTGGCAGTCCAAATAAAAACACCTATTGCCTCAGTGGCGCTCCAACTCCGCTCCAAGGGGTAAAGGACACAGGAGAACAAGACGCAGTACATGACAAGTAAATGTTAGGCCCCCACAGCGAAATAACAACACCAAGCCGCAAAGATGTCCCACAAATGCTTGTGGTATTACTAAACACCCCGGTCTAGGGGGATTCTGCGTCATACTTAGGTTTTGGTCGGCGTTATTGTCCCCTGAAAACCAACCCAACTTCTCTCTAGCCCTATGGGCGTGTAAACTACAGTGTGTAATACAAATTAATGTTTTGACCTGGGCTATTTTATTTGTAGCATGTACCCTGTACTTGGATCAAATAGATAATAAATAAGATATGTATTATTTAAAGATTGGGTTTGTTTTGTTTCAATCGTCAACATCTCTGGTCTATAAGTTAGAAGTTAACTTTTTGTGTTACATAAATATTATTTATTTTATATATTTTATTTATTTAAACTTAAGTTTACATAATTTACCAGGTTTAACATATTTTATTCCAATGAGGTAACACTTTTCCTGATTTTAAGTTATTATGCAGCCTAAAATTTTTTAAGTGCTTATTTACTAATAAAATATATTTGTCGCAAAGGTGAGTTGATTGAAGTTGATATTGATTTAAATGAAACGCATATGTGAAAAGTAATAACGGGATGGACGTTAAATAAAGGTAGCGGTGCATTTTTATGAAACAATTTTTAACTTTTATGGACAGATGAAGCATTAATAAAAAGTAAGCGAAAATGGTTTATGAAATTTCGGTGCACTTAACTGAAAGACTCGATGCATGGCGGCAAATGAACGCATCCATCATTGTTTGGATACAGTTTTACAATCAATCCGGTGATATAAAACTTAATTTTCGTTTGTGAAAAAGTGTGCTGAAATAAATAACGCGCACGAGAGGCTGCCAGAAGAATCGAAATTAAATATTTCGAATTAAACAATAAATTATCGGCGGGGCGACGATAAATTTTTCAATTAAAATAGCAAAAATATTCGGCTCGCAGAATATAATATCCCATCGGGCGGTAATTAATCACTGGTAAGTGTTCAATTTGAACGACTGAGTCACATCTGTCATGGACTTTATGCAATATCGAACTTAACAATGAATCAATTCCGGGCGAGCTGCCCGGAATCCGCCCGGCAGACGGGCGGACGTCGGACGGATGATTTTCGCGGATGCACCACACGTTACTGTATGCTTTACACCCATTAAGAAACCACATTTATTTAATGTAAATTTATGAGTGAATTTTAAGTAATTTGGCTTCTACGGCTAGCAACAATATAAGTGAAAAAAAATTTCATAACGCAAAACATTTTTCTACACAAGTTTGGTTTAATATAATTGTTTTACTCCTATTGTTATCTTTTGAACGAAAAAAGGTATCGACATCGGACAGAAACCATTGTCAAGGATATACTACTACCAAGAGGGCAAATGTACCATTGTAGTTTTAGGCGGTTTTTAAAATAATTGTACTTTTTAGTGTATACAATAACACTATTATTATTTTTTTTTTGTTGGATAATGGTTCGCGCTCGCCCTTTGGAAAAAAATACAAGCAATTTTTATTTATGCTGAATGTACATGTATATTAGCTTTTTAGTAATTTAATTACTATTAATAGGCATTAAATTTCATTTGGAACCTAGTGTTCACCCCCAAGTACATTCGTTTTGGTAAACTTAGGTACATGTTGCGACATCTCTTAATTTTGGTTGAACATTCTCTCATATAATGGGGATGCGCATAAAACAACACGTTGACGACAGTTTGTCTTAGCGGGTCTTTAGATGATTTATAAAAATATTTAAGTATAAACTAGTAGTTTATAGTTTGTTCCTAAAGGTAAGTACTAAGGCATCTAAAAACTATTTTGGTATTATCTACACCTGAACTGCAGTTATACATGTATAAAACATTGACTTAAAATTCGATGTACAGGGTGGTCCACGTAAGGTGACCCATATACTTATCTCAGAAACTACTGGAGTCACAAAAAATTTGTAAGGAACAAATATTCACGAAGTAAAAAATATTTTTAAAATATTATATTTTCATTTATACAGGGTGTTGGGTTTTCCTTGGGACGATACCAACTTTCTTATTTTCAATGGAACACCCTGTATTTTTTTGCATTTTTGGATTCTTCCCACTCTTTTAGGTATACTTTGTAAATATATTAAATAAGAAAATGTTAATACTTTTTGAGTAAAATTAAGATTTATTAAAATTACTCTAAATGTAGACACTCGCTAAAAGTTAAAAATAACCAACTAAAAGTTATTATTTTTTATATTATGTAGTATCCATCTCTTTAATAATAAGTAAGCTATAAGTTAATTATTATATTTTTTGGAAAATATCATACAGGGTGTTTTCTATGTACCGTTGAAAATATCGATTTTAAAAGTTTAAAATCTTGTTTTTCTTCAATGGAACACCCTATATATTTTTGCATAATTGGATAGAATAAGTAATTACCTTTCATTTTATATATATATGTCCTATACCTAAACCTAACAGAAAAAAAAATATTCGCATTTTTCACAATTAGTAGCTTTTTTCCAATTATCTTAGTTAAATTTTCATTATTCAAAGAAAACACCCTGTATAATATTTTCCAAAAAATAAATTAATTAACTTATAGCTTACTTATTATTAAAGAGATGAATGCTACATAATATAAAAAATAATAACTTTTAGTTGGTTATTTTTAACTTTAAACGAATGTCTACATTTAGAGAAATTTTAATAAATCCTCATTTTACTCAAAAAGTATTAACATTTTCTTAATTAATATATTTACAAAGTATACCTTAAAGAGTGTGTAGAATCCAAAAATGCAAAAAAATATAGGGTGTTCCATTGAAAATAAGAAAGTTGGTATCGTCCCAAGGAAAACCGAACACCCTGTATTAATGAAAATACAATATTTTAAAAATATTTTTTACTTCGTGAATATTTGTTTCTTACAAATTGTTTGTGACTCCAGTAGTTTCTGAGATAAGTATATGGGTCACCTTACGTGGATCACCTAAAAAAAATATTCGCATTTTACAAAATTAGTAGCTTTGCGCGTATGGTAATTATTATAGTAATATATATTTATATATAAAAGCATTTTTATTTGTTGTTATTGAAATTTATTTATTTGAATAATGAAAATTTAACTAAGGTAATTGGAAAAAAGCTACTAATTGTGAAAAATGCGAATATTTTTTTTTCTGTTAGGTTTAGGTATAGGACATATATATATAAAATGAAAGGTAATTACTTATTCTATCCAATTATGCAAAAATATATAGGGTTTTCCATTGAAGAAAAACAAGATTTTAAACTTTTAAAATCGCTATTTTCAACGGGACATAGAAAACACCCTGTATGATATTTTCCAAAAAATATAATAATTAACTTATAGCTTACTTATTATTAAAGAGATGGATACTACATAATATAAAAAATAATAACTTTTAGTTGATTATTTTTAACTTTTAGCGAGTGTCTACATTTAGAGAAATTTTAATAAATCTTAATTTTACTCAAAAAGTATTAACATTTTCTTAATTAATATATTTACAAAGTATACCTAAAAGAGTGGGTAGAATCCAAAAATGCAAAAAAATACAGGGTGTTCCATTGAAAATAAGAAAGTTGGTATCGTCCCAAGGAAAACCGAACACCCTGTATAAATGAAAATATAATATTTTAAA